CATGAGCTTCCTCAAGCGCTTCCCGCCGCCGGCCGACGGTGTTCGCCACCAGCAGCCGGACACGGAGGCGCTGCTGGCGGGCCGCAGCCTGGGCGCCGGCACCCTCTACATCGCCGAGAGGTGCGGGGGACACGCGGGGCTGGGACCCCTCGGGGGCTGCCCGGGGCGGCTCTGAGGGGCCCGGGATGGCGGCTCGGGAGAAGGGGCCGTGATGTGAGGGAAGCTCTCAGGGGCTGTGAGGCTCTGCGGGGCGTCCCGCTGCTCCTGCTCGTTTTAAACCGGGCAAGAGGGAGCAGCACGGCCGGGGACCCGGCTGGCCGGGGCGTTCAGGGCCGGGCTGGATGGGGCTTGGAGCATCCTGGTCCCGTGGGAGACGTCCCTGCCCAGGGCAAGGGCTTGGAACGAGACAGCTGTAAGGTTCCTTCCCACCCAAACCGTTCTGTAAAACGCAGCGTGCTGGAGAAATGTGCGCTCGCAGCCCTGAACGCCAGTTGTATCGTGGGCCACAGCAAAAGCAGCGTGGCCAGCTGGGCAGGAGAGGAAATTGTGTCCCGCTGCTTTTGTGAGACCCCAGCTGGAGTGCTGTATCCAGCTCTGGAGTCCCCAACATAAGAAGGACATGGAAATCTCGGAGCAAGTCCAGCAGACACCACGAAGTTGATAAGGGGACTGGAGCACCTCTGCTATGAAGACAGACTGAGAAGGTTGGGGCTGTTCAGCCCGGAGAAGAGAAAGTTGTGTGGAGACCTCATGGCAGCCTCCCAGTATCAGAAGGGGCATGCAGGGAAGCCAGAGAGGGGCTCTTTGGCGGGAACTGTAGTGAAAGGACAAGGAGGAATGACTTCAAATTGAAAAAGAGCATTATGTTGGTTATTAGGAGAAAATTCTTTACCATGAGTAGAGTGAGGCGCTGGCACAGGCTGCCCAGAGAAGCTGTGGATGCCCCATCCCTGGCAGTGTTCAAGGCCAGGTTGGATGGGCCTCTGAGCAGCCTGGTCTGGTGGGGGGTGTCCCTGCCCAAGGTAGTGGTTTGCAACTGGACGATCTTTCAGGTCTTTTCCAACCCAAACCATTCTATAATAAAACCACAGCAGCTCTTCTCTTTTGACAGGGGAGTAGACGGGGCTGTTGGGTTTCTGCTGTTAATAACTACTCTGGTTCTGTGAAGTCTTTCATGTTGCATTAGTCACGTGGAGACTGTTCTTACTAGGCAGAAATCAGTCTGGTTATTCTGGAAGATGTTATCTGAGCTCTTCATGGTGTTCTTTCAATTCTTCCTGCATTGTATAGCTCAGAGAGACAGCTTGATGATTAAAACAATGTAATTTTCTTTAACTGTGAAAAGTACTCATAAAATATGCTACAATTGAAGAGCATTGTTGGAACAAAAACATAATTTAAAATGTACACTGAGGAGTGAATTGTCTTTTAAAAATCTCAGACTAGGAAACCTTTATGAAATGGCCAATATTGTCAGAGGAGTTTTTGCCCCACCTGAGCTTGTTAGTGCTGTGTTGGAGAGGAATCTCTCTTGAATTTTGTTCACTGTTTTATTTAGTTTGGTTACAACTAACAAGACTTCTGTTTGTAGGGTTATGTGCTCTGAGGACATGTAATGTTGAGTTTCCTTGTAAGTTGCTTTCAGTAGACTTTTGTGTGAGGCACCTACAGGTCTGCCAGCTTCCTCTCCACGTGTTTCAAGTGCATCACAGAGCTTTCACCAGAGTCACTTGTTGGGATGAACAGAAAACACCAGTGTTTGCAGGAGTGCCATGGGAGAATGGGGCATCCAGGAGCTCAGTGTGGCTCTTGATCCATGTCCTGACTCAATCATCAGCTGTAAATATCGAGGACTGGACAGTTGGGGCTAGGAAATAAATTCTTTGCTCCCACTGCACTGCCTCTTGCTCTCAGCCAGATTTTCCAGGACAAGGAGTCTTCTGTGACCTTTCCATTGGTTTTGTCCCATCACAAAAGCTTGTGAATGCTGAGTTTTACACATGTTTGAGGTCTTGCTTTCTAGCCCTGAGTATTTCTGTTCACTGTGTGACATCATTGATTACAGGCACCCAAATCTAGTTTGAATTTGATTACTGAGTGTCTAGAAAGATGTTGATTGTTCTGATATGAAGGAGGCAGCATCCTGGTGATGATAACCTGTGCTGTCTCTTGCTGTGGTTAGGGATGACAATGAAAGTGGGGAAAGCAGAGGTTATAGTACATAAGTTGTGAGTGGAGGAGTACCCATAACCTGTCTCTGCTGATCACACAACAGGCTGTTTTTCTACATCCAGGCTATACCCACATCAGGTCTATAATCCTCTAGAAATTATGACACTGGCTCGCCTTTCAGTGTACTCTTCGTCTTGGAAAACCACATTTAATAGCTCGAGTTACAAATCACAGTCTGAAACCTCTGTAGTTGTCTTTGGAATGATAGATATCTGCAGGGAGGAGAAAATGGTGAGACAAGGAGGGAAATTCAGCATTTAGTGCAAATGTGATAAAGCTGTGATGTGTTTAGGGTTCTTAGCTTCACATTCTTTAGGCAAAGGTGTCTTTTACCTCAGCCATCAGTTAATGCTGTTGCAAAGTCCTGTTCAGGCAGGTCTGGGACTGTGTATGCCTGCAGAGCAGGCCAAGTGCCTTGCCCACAAATACTCACTTTGTGGGATTGGTTTGCTTTTTTGCAGGCTTCAGTCAGGTACTGTGGATTCCTCTGTTAGTTTCTACCTTGTCTCTTCTTTTTCTCCTCCCTCATTAGTCGCCTGTCTTGGCTGGAAAACTCTGGGGTTGGCTTCTCCTTGGATTACCCCACCATAAGTTTACATGCCGTCTCCAGGGACCTCAGCGCCTACCCAAGGGAGCACTTGTACGTCATGGTGAACGCCAAGTTCGAAGGTGAGGAGTGTTGCTTGCTGCTCACACGCAGTCCTGAGTGACAGGATTTCCTTCTCAGGAGGAAATGTTGATTTTAAGTAATTGCTTGTGTTTTCTTTTTTATTTTCCTGAAGGATAGTTATTTTAGAAGCACAGCTTTGCATTTGTTTGGAGTCACTTCTTCACACAGTTCTGCTCTCAGCTTGTGGCTGTGTACACTGAAGCTGCTGAGAATCAGTCCTGTGCTCTCTTACACTGTTTTAAACAATTTAGTTCCTCTGCCAGCCTCCCTGTGATTCCATCTTGAGTACATATTTTTCTTTATTGAATTTATGTTAATGTTGATGCCCCCTCCAGGCTTGATGAATTCCTGCTGTTTCACAGCCAGGGAACTTTTCATTCATTTTCTCCCACAGCTTGGTTAAATACAAACAAGAAAAGGCAATAGGTCATGTTACCAGGATTCAGTGAATCTTTGTAGATGGTCCACAAAACCCACCTTTTTGAGCATTCTTGCTTTGATGCAGAGAAAGCAAGCTTTCTGTTTCATTGTTTGTATGAAGATTGTATTTATATATATAAATAGTTTTCTTCTGGCAGACCTGTTAACATTTTAAGTGTGTCAAAAACTGCCATCGCAGTTGAAGATTAAATGAGTGTTAGGTATTGAGCAGGTCTCCTTTTCCCCTTCATGCCTTATTGGTCATCACAGCTAAAGTTAAAATCTGGCATTTAATTTTTTTTTAGTGTATCCAGAAAGTAATGACAAGACTCTGAGGAGGTGGAGATGCTTTTAAGCTATTAGTGTTCTTCATTATTTCTTTCTCTTATGTTACTAATGTTCTCTGACAGTCTATCACTACAAATAATAAGAGGACATTTGCATACACCTCTTGGTTCCTCTTCCTCATTTTCCTTTAACTGTGGTTATTTTGAAGTAAAAAGAGCCTCATCTGAAGATAGATACTGTTGGTAGCTTTTAATTCATTCTGATGATGACATTTGAAAATATGGATATTCTGTGAAAGCCTTTATCTAGAAATCTTTAATAGACTGACTTTTTAATGGGTATTTTTTTGTGGGTATATTTTTTAGTGTACTAACCCTGCCTACAGTAAATCTTCCACAGCAGGTAGATTTTACTTTCCAAAGTCTAGCCCTGGCCTGCACTTTTAACTGCTGAATAGCATTAAACCTTTCCACTTAGTTGGCTTCAGCAGTCTTCATTCTCAGTTGTGCAGGGTACATTGCGTTCTTCCTCTGAAAGTTTTGCATGTGCTCTCTGTGTGTTTGTGCCTTGTGCTCGCCCCTTTTTAGAAAAAGGCACTCAGAGGTTGACTGCATTGAAAACAAAGAGCTGGACTCAGCAGTAACAAGCTGTGCCTGCGGGTGTCAGTGGGAAAAGAACTGGATAGCTTCCTTGCACACTTCATTTTTGGGGCAGCTGGCTGGCAGCTTCTTGGCATCTTTGTATTCTTGGTGGTGCCAGTTTTGTGTGTGATAAAAACGACTCTCAGTGGAACAGCCTCTTCTCCTGTAGAAAATAATTGTGCACTTTTGAGGCTGTCAGTGCAGCATCCCCAGCCCCAAAGTGAAGAACTGCAGCCTTTTTTTTGTGGGGTTTTATTCACAGAAAGTGAAACACCACACTGATGCTTATTTATTCATGTACAAGGCATACGGAAGTAAGGGAGCACTGGAGCTGTCACTGGTTCTGGGTGCACTTCTGACATCTTGCTGGCTGACTAGGAATGTTGGAAATGGAGCAGAGATCCTTTGCACATGTCAGAGGCCCCTTTGAGGGGCCACACTGGAAGCTAGCTGATTTTGTGACAATAACGTTAAGGATCCATAAATAATCCATGTGATTTAAAAAATGATAACAACTGTGAATTGGGGGGTTTTGAGCGCTGTTGTTTCTAATAAGAATCTGGAAATTTTCCTGAAAGACTTGAATACATTGTGTTACCAGTACAGAAATCTTTACTCCTTAAGTTATAAACACAATTTTCATATGTGTTGCAAGTGTTGTTGAGGTGCTGTGGGAGGGTTTTATATATCCATGTGGGCCTTGGAGTCTCATGGGGTTTTTGGGAGAATGGAGTGAAGGTTTTGTGCCTCTCTTAGGTTGTTTCTGATTTGACTATGTGTGTGTTCCTGACAGAATAAACAAATGTGACTTTTTTTTTATTACTACAAAATAAAGATGTTTCTTTCCAATACTTTCAACTTTTTAAAGAGGACACAAAAGAGGCTCCCATGACTGAAGGGGAGGAGGATGACAGTGATGATGATGACGTTGAACCGATTGCAGAATTCAGATTCGTACCTAGCGACAAATCAGCCTGTAAGTGCAAATGGGAATTGTGCAAATGTGAATTTAGCTGTTACTTCGAAGTCCCAGTTACATGTGGAAGACACTTGGGTGTAGAGATGTAAATACCATGATCCTTCAGTGTCCTTCTCCAGTGACTTGATTCCTGTGTGCTGGAAAGAACAAAGCAAATTGTTTTATCTGGCTTGAAAATGGACTCTTTCAAGCAGCTGCTTCTCAAGGAAAATTCCAATGCTTTAAAATACGAATTGTTGAGTATTTATGAGATTATCCACACAAAGTGGATTATCTCATTTACAGAGAATATGTATGGGAAATGTCTTTTTAATTAGAAATTCAGTGATGTTTGAGTCAGTGACAATTTCATTAAAAAACATGCTAATGCCCTGACACTACCACTGGAAAGCTGTCATATCCTGTCCAGTGTGGAGCTTACAGTTGGATTCAAGTTTTAGAATCTGATGGATAGAGATGCTGCAAGGATTCCTTCAGTAGGTAATCACAGACAGAATTGTCCAGAGATAAACCTTTATCATCAATGAAATAATGCAGAAGTGCTGTTAAGAGGCACCAGGCTGGATCTCTGAAACCTGATTTGTTTCTTACATGGCTTCTGGCTTGTTGGATGATGTTTTCAAACACAAATTCAGTTGTGGTTCTGCTACAGGAATATTCTCACTCCCTCTGATCACTCGGGGTGGGGTTTCTTGCCTGCTGCTTTGAGGTGTTGGTGGAGGTTTGTGATTACTTGTGTTCCTGCAGTGGAAGCCATGTTCTCAGCGATGTGTGAGTGCCAGGCCCTGCACCCAGACCCAGACGATGAGGACTCAGACAACGATTATGAAGGGGACGAGTACGATGTTGAGGCCCGCGGTTGGTAACAGTTTCTTCTTTTGAAATACCTGCCAGCACTTGGATATCTGGTATCTGTCGTAATTGTTTATTACTCATCTTGCCTAAACACCCCTTTTGTCACAGGCACAGTATAGAAATTCATAAATCTGCAGAAAACCTGTAGTTTAGCTGTTACAAATGACAGGAATTCAGCAAAAGCATTGTTCTGGCTCTCCAAAGCCCACAGACACAAAAAGCAGCCTTTCCTGTTCCCAGTGTCTGTCCTAGCCCAGGTTCAGTGCCTGTGTTGCTGTGTGGTCAGTTCATATTGCTGTGTGTATTCTGTACCTGATGTAAGCAGCTTTTTAACCTCAGTCAGTCAATTTGAGCATAAATTGCTCAGCTGCTGCCCTATTCCTCTACCTCTGCATATTTCTGGCTCCTAAACTTAGGTCTGGTAAAGATGACCTTGTCTTTGCAGAGCTAGAACAAGGAGACATCCCAAGCTTTTACACATACGAAGAGGGATTGTCGCATTTAACCGCAGAAGGCCAGGCCACGCTGGAGAGGTTAGAAGGCATGTTAGCCCAGTCTGTCAGCACCCAGTACAACATGGCTGGAGTGAGAACAGAGGACTCCATAAGGGAGTTTGAAGGTAAGACATGCTTTTGTTTTACTAAAGAATATGTCTTCATCAGTGGCACAGCCAGTGGGATCAAGTGCACCCTCAGCAAATTCGCAAATGACACCAAGCTCAGGGGTGCAGTTAACACTCCAGAATGATGGGATGCCATCCAGAGGATCCTGGAAAACCTGAGGAGTGGGTCCATGGGAACCTCATGAGGTTCAACAAAGCCAAGTGCAAAGTGTTGCACCTGGATTGGGGCAGCCCCCGGTATCAACAGAGGCTGGGAGACGAAGAGCAGCCCTGCCAAAAAGGATGTGGGGGTGCTGGTGGATGAAAAGTTGGACATAACCTGGCAATGTGCACTCACAGCCCAGAACACTAGACATGTCCTAGGCTGTGCCCAAAGCAGCGTGGCCAGCAAGGCAAGAGAGGGAAATCTGCCCCTCTGCTCCACTCTGGTGAGACCCCACCTGGAGTGCTGCATCCAGCTCTGGGTCCTCAGCATAATAGGATGTGAACCTAATGGAGTGAGTCCAGAGGAGGTCATAAAGATGATCAGGAGTCTGGAGCACCTCTGCTATGGAAACAGGCTGAGACAGTTGGGGTGTTCAGCCTAGAAAAGAGAAGGTTCTGGGGAGACCTTACTGAGGCCTTTCAGTACTTAAAGATGGAGACAGACTTTTTTTTGTAAGGCCACTTGCTATAGGACAAGGGGGAATGGCTTCAAACCAAAGGAGGGGAGATTCAGATGATAAAAGGAGAGTTTTTTACCATGGGGGTGGTGAGCCACTTGCCCAGAGAAGCTGTGGATGCCCAGCCCTGGAAGTGTTCAAGACCAGGCTGAATGAGGCTTTAAGCAAGTCTAGTGGGAGGTGTCCCTGCCCATGGCTGCAACGTCCCTTCCTACCCAAACCATTCTGTGGTTCTATGATATGAAAGTGGTGATTCTCTAATTTGGCTAATCCGTAAAGCAGGACTGAGCAAGTGTGATGCCATGGGTGATACTCCCTGCAGAAGGTGAGGGATCACCCACATGCCTATGGGCACCCTGTTGCCTGCTGTGGATTGAGGGCTGCTCTGTTAAAGACAGAACTTCAGTGTTCAGAGCACTTGATTCTTCTTGGTATGCTTTCCTCTAAGAGTGGTGAAGTTGATTTAAGATTAAAAAAACCCCTAAACTTGTCAGTCTACACTAGGGTTAGAAAGCAGTTTCTAATTTAAATGAGTTGCAGTTTTTATTTGGGTTTTGATTTTGTTTTTGTTTGGTTTTTTTCCCTAATACCTTAAATTATAAGCCAACAATTATCTTAACAGAGTTAAGGGTGAATTCTGAATCATTCAAACACACTTAAACAGATTTATTAAAAAAGATCTATTTTTTATTAAATATGCTGTCTCTTAATTCTATTGATTGTGTGTATTTAAGGAGTAAAATTTCTTTTTTGTTGATCTGACTTTGCAGACTCTGTCTTTTCTGTGCACTGTTTTCACTAGAGCAATACATTTTCTGGGAGAAGAGCAGGGGAAGTAGTTCAGTAGCATTGCTTCTTTTTTATATATAAGTTGCTTTTTATATGCCCTCATATTTTTGAAAGATGGAAAATGATGCAGCAGTTGTGGATTTCTAGAAAATAACTAATTTGTTCTCATCTGCAGGGAGAGGTTTTTAATCTTGTTTTGTTAGTTGTTTTCATGGTTCTCTTTGTTCTGCAATTTTGAATAAATTTATGTAAAGAGAACCATAGGTGATAGGCTCCTGTTTCAGCAGTGCCCTTTGAAAATTTAGTCAGGTGTCTGAATCCCAAAATTCCAGAAATGAATATAAATTGAACACCAAGTATGCCACGTGTTTCAGAGTAATTTTCTTCAGTTTTGTTTACTTTCCTAATCTTATTTGCTACAGTATTGCTGCTTGGCTTTCTGTATTATAAGTATCCCCAGGGTTCGGTTTCAGAGTTACTTTATTTTTAGACATTGTAGCATAGGGCAATCTTTCCAATGATTGTTTCAGAGCAGGATACAGCCTCTTTCTGCTAAAGTTATTCAAAGGAATCTTGACATTTGTTACACCTGAATTTCATTTAAAACATGAATAGTTAAAATCCCGTGTTTAAGGCCCAATAATAAGACTGGGTGAGAGGAGGTTGTAGGAAGCGGTGACATCTTTAAAGGGCTGGCCAACAGTGCTGGAGCAAACAGAAGCTTGTGAGCTCATCGGTGTTTCCTTAGGCCGCTTTCAGAAGTTCAGTGAAGGGGTTTTCTGTCCTGGCCACCTCTTGTCAGCAGAGGGCACCCGCTGTCTTTCCCGTGAAAACATCATCCCTCATCCGCTTGTTTACGGAGCACTGGCTGTTTTTTTCAGATGGGATGGAGGTGGACGTAGCACCGGTAGTTGCTGGACAGTTTGAAGACGCTGAAGTCGATCACTGAGGAGGACAGGAGTTGCTGTAAGTTCTTCTGATTCCTCACATCAATGTTTTTCAGTCCTGCAGAGCCTTCCCTCTCTGTAATTTGGGTAATGTTTGTGATCCTACAGGAAGTGTCTCATGATACCAGGATGATGGTGATATAGAAGAAGGAAAAGGGAGCTGGAGTTATCACAAATGTAGAAAGATGTTTAATGATCTGTGCTAAAATGCCTATTGGCATAAACTGTTACCCTGCAGAGGCAACCTGCATGGATGTGCCTGTCTGGAAGACAGGCCAGCCTTTTAGTTGATTTAAGAATTGTCTGCTCTCAAAGGCTCTTAGATGCTGATCTATGAATGCTGGAGGCATCCCTGGGAAGTTACTGTCTTTAGTGTCTGTTGTTTTGCCCGTAGTGTGTAGGACTTCCCAGGCTGTTCAAAGGGGCAGGACTCTTCATAGCTCCAGCTCTTCCTTTATTGTAAGCAGAGCAGGAGCAGTTCCTGGTAAAGTTACAGAGCTGTCTGGATGGGATTGCTGTCAGGAGTGAGCAACTTAGAGACAACGCCCTGCTCAGGTGGTTATGCTAGAGTGATCCCTTGTCTTCCATCACCTGTTTTTCTCCTCTTAGTAGCATTACAAGATGTGCCAGTGTTTCCTTGGTGGTGCTGGGAAGGAGAGGAAGAACAGCTTTTTCTGGGAGTGTCTGTAAAGATGCACGGGCACAGTGGGATTGTGATGCCACCTTGGCTTCAGCTCACTAGTGCTCAGTCTGTACATGCTGCCAAGTGGTGTTGTGTTGTACCAGCTCTTCTGTCTCAGACGGGAGACTGACAGCTCTTACCTTAAAGTGAGTGTCCAACTATCCCACTTGAAATGCCAGAGAGAGCAGCTGTGGAGCAGACAGCCAAAAGCTCAGGGGAGGAAGGAGGAAAGGGACACAAAAAGGAGTGTGACCCACTGAAAGAAAAGTGTGAAAGTAGTTGATTAGGGATTACAGTGTCACAAAGAAAGAGTCTGCAGTCCCCGAGGAGGGCAGCTGTGTAGGGGTGCTGCACAGCTGCATTCCTCCTCTGTTGCTTATTTTTCTTTGCTGCTGCAGTTCTGAAAGTCTCAGAGTAGCCTTGTGTTCTCTTACTAACCTCCACTACTGCCACTGCTCCTGAACTGGTATTTATTGTCTAGTGCAAGAGCTCAAACTTCTGTAGTAGCATTTCTACCCTAGAAAGGACTTTGAAGAACAGAGAGAGTTCTTAAAAAAAAAATCTGTATACTGGTCGTCCTGCTATTGGATGGTCCTCCAGTTTGGTAAAGGACACAGGTAAGAATCAGAGAAAAACCTTTAGCTGTAGATCAGGTGCCTCTTAGTAAGCAAATGGAAATTTAGGCTCTGATGACTCCATCTCCAAGATTACTTCGGTCGATGGATTACTGAAAAAGAAAAATCACGCTGTTGTAAAATACAAATTTGACTGCTTTATCTATTATCCTGGTTAAAATTTAACTGTATTAAGGAGAGTTAGTAGTTGATAGCAGATCTCTAAGAAGCCTGAAAGTGCTTGTGGAAGTGTTGTAGACTGTTCTTCTAGAAAAGGACAAATACACCCAGTAAGAAGTAGTGTTGGTTAGTGGAATTATTGCTCTGCCTGCTGTGGTACAGCATATGGCTGTGGGAGGTGAATGCTGTGAGAGGTGACTGGAGATTTTCTCCTCTGCTTCTGCGTGTGCTGATCACAGCTGAGGGGCTGATCCCTGTCAGAGCAGATCAAGTGACCTGCATGTGCTGTGTCAGGTGCTGCAGTGATATCACTCCAGGTAGCAGTTTGCGATGGCCCTTTTTAGAGTAACCCCCAGCCTGAGTGTGTGGATGTAATTTATGGAAGTTTAGGAATCTAGGCTCTAAGGCAGCAATAAAGAACTGAAGGTAGAAGGTGACAAGGACAGCTCTTGGAGGTCTGTGCTAATCACCCTGCTCAGAGGATGGCTTGGCTCTACACTCAAGTATGTAGGGGTGGAGAAGGAGCATGTTGTGATCTCGTGGGTACTCCATGCAGCAGCTTGGCCCTTTTAACCTCCTGAACTGCAAAATGATCTACAGGAATATCTTGTTGGTGATCCCTTAGAGAGCAGTGTGCTGCTCTGCCTCCCAAACAATGCCTTTGTGTGATGCTCCTGTTGCATGCCACCCAAATGAGATGTGACAGTCCCCTGCTGAAGCTCCTGGAAGACTTGCTGGCAGTTGGTGCAGGACATTTCCAGTGCTGCTGCAATAAGTGGTGTTTTGTCTGTGGCATCACGAGGCTGCAGCAATTGTTCTGATGCAATTGGTGTGTCTGCATGTGGGTGCAGCAGGGTCTGCCAGGGCACCCTGGTCCCTGCTGTGAGCACATGCTGTCCTTAGCTGACCTGAGTTAGAGCTGCTGCCAAAGGCAGAGATGCTCAGCTCTTCTGAAAATTCATGGGCTTGTAGTAAAATGTGGTCCTCTGACTGCAACAAACAGATAGCTACTACTCTGTGATGCTTAATAACCTTTTATTTTAATGCCAATTATGTAAACTTGGGTGTCTTGTGTCTTTCAGATTCCTCTTGTGGCACTTGCAGAATAAGCTGTAAAACCGAAGGCATTGCAGTGACTATCGGGTGTTAACCTTTCTTTTAATGACCTAAGTTTAGACATCTAGGTCTGTAAATGCTTGTAGAGATGTTTGAAGCAGGGTTTGACATTTGTGACCACTATGGGGTTATTTAAAAAAACAAAATAAACAAAAACAATAAAACCTCTTGCATCTAACACTTGAATGGGGCTAATCAGGGGTCATTTCATAGAATCACAGAATGATTTGGGTTGGAACAGACCTTAAAGATCATCTGGTTCCAACCCCACCTGCCATGTGCATGGACGCCATTGAGTAGATCTGGTTGGTCAAGACCCCATCCTAACCTGGCAGTGAACACTTCCAGGGATGGGGCAGCCACAGTCTCTCTGACCAAACTCTCTGGCCTTTTAAAGAAGTCTTTGTAGGAATTCTTGGACTTCAGAAAAAAACCTGTAAGTAGAACAGAATTTTGGACTGTCCTAGAATTTTCCATATTTTTTTACCTGTCATTGACTCTGGAGTAGAAATGGGAATAGAAATGTTCCGACTGAAAGGAAATAGGGTTGGCCAAGGATTAAAGGAAAAGCTAAATTAAAACCCCCTTGAGTAATTGGTTTTATCATTTCAGTGCTATGCCTTTCATTTCTCTGAGAGCTGAGCTTGGGTGGTAGAGGAGATGGAATAAAGGCTGTAAGGTCCAGACAAAAAGAACTGTTTTGTGTCTTTGTATTAAATGTTAACATTGTTAAATAAACTAAGATTTTTGTATCTCACAACCAGCTCACTGTTGCAGTTCTCCCTCCTTTACTTCAGCAAGCAGCTTGAGCCCTTGAGTTTCAGAACTTTCTTCTGTAAAAAAAAATCTTCAGCGAAGCCAAAAACATTTTCATCATTGACGTGGATGTGAGGATAAAAGGGCAGAGCATTTGCAGAGTATGCCTGTGACAGAGTTAGTCAGACACATCCCAAATTTAGGAACCCAGCTTTAGATTGGCAAGATCTTGTTCCTGCTGGAGCTTTTCCTGTTTTATCTCTCTGTGGGGTGGTGATTTTGCCACTGGGAAATACCAGCAAATTCAGGTTGCTCCTCTCTTCTTCCAGTATTGAAATGAAAGTCTGGACCAAACTTCCTCCGTTCTCTTTCACTTTGAAGTTGAACTGTGATTTTTTTGGGGGTGGAGGGGAGGGTGAGGTATTGCTGTGTTGGTATATGAACAGTTTACTGGCCCTACACTCTGCTTACACTTTAGGATGTGATTTGGTTCCAAGGTACATGGCAATTATAACCACTCTTCGCTGAATATTGGCTAGGAATGCCAGTCAAATTAGGGATGTCTTAAGAGTGCTGTGAACCATGACAGCTGAAAAAATGAGGTAGTCGGCATGTTATGCAACAAGACATTCTACAGGAATGTCTTTACCAGCCCCTTTGTATACATACAAACTGTTCACGTGAGTGTGTGCATGTTTTTGTTAGGGATTCAGAGTTACAAAGGAGGATACAGAGTTGATGTTTGATCCAGAGCACTGGCGTTTGGAGAATCTTGGCATCCTGAGATTTTGGGACAGGTAAAACTCTTAATTGGCACAAAAATTGAGCCAAAAGGCTCACTGAATTCTAAGTCACCATTCACTGTTGAAGCAGACTGGTGGGGTTCACTAAGGTGTGTGTAAATCAGTTGGAGTGGTGTTTCTGTTGTTTTGCACATTAAATGGCAGCCCGTTACATACCCTGGCAGATGGGCAAGGTTAACTCCAGGGCAGCTGGGCTGTTCACAGCTCCTCACCACATCCAGAAGAGAATTTGTGTTGTAGTAATGTGGAGATCCAGGAGCAGACATCTTGTAATGCTTCCAGTCAAATCAATGGAACAAGGCTGATTTAGGTGAGGTGTAAACAAACCTGCATGAATGCTGAAGGTAGCATTGAGAAGTGTCTAGTGGATTGACAAGTTTTATTTTCAATAAAACTTTTGCATTTAGTCTGTGTGTTAGTGTTCTGGACTTCATAAGCATTCGTTACCTCAAATGTAAAATACTCATTTTTGCCTGCACTACCAAAATCAGTTAAATTCTTCAGTTCCTAGCTTAAGGGTTTTTTTCATTATTTCTGCTGCTTTTGTTTTTATTTTCTTTTGTTTTGCATTAATTTAGTCAATTTAAGACTTATCTAATTCCTAGTGATTTTTTTTTTTTTAAATGTACATTCCAGTGCCTATAAATACAGCAACTACTTGTTAATCACCCAGATTTGTACCAATTTCTTTTAAACTATATTTTGTGCCAAAATAAACAAGCCAGACATGGAGAAGTCAGATCTGATCTGACCTCTTCACTTTATGGACTTTGGTTTTGCAGGCCATCAAAAATGGATGTAGATGGATGTGGAAGTAGGGCCTCTAATCTAACAAATCTTGCTTGGCTCTAGGTTTGTATATCTGCTTTCTCTTTTCTTTGTCTATTTTTATGCTCTTTAAGGTTTATTTTTGAGACCTCTATCCTGTGGGCTCCATGGGTTCAGAGGAGACATCACGTCATGTAGATTTTGAAAGACTTGTTTCCACAAGACATGAGGTGAAAAAGTGGGGGGATAAAGTTTTTAGGTATGGATCACTATAAAAGGAGGTAAAAGAGACAGAAAACACTAAAGCAAGAAAGGGAAGGTAGAAACCCCAAAAAAGATCTGTTTTAGAAGCAGAACAAGGTATAAAAATATGTATTTTTTCAGGCTCAGTGTGCTGGTGTGTGATCCATGCCATGGAGAGTTTTAACAAGGACAAGTTTCTTTGGTAGATCCACTCACACTATGGTCAAAGAGCTGCTGAATGATAAACCAGCAGTTCTATTTATCTTCATCATAATAGCAGGCTCATTTTTTTTATTATTAATAACTGAAAACAGGGTCATGGATAGGACTCTTATATGTAAAGCACATTTTGACTGATTCAATTTTCACAATCTTATAGGTAGTATTGATTTAATTTGCACAATCTTATAGGTAGCTTGGAAAAATAAAATGAGAAAAGATTTTATTGCAACAAGGAAGAAATTACATGGAAATATTTCCTTCCCAGACTTGCAAAAAAGATAGCTGACAATAGTAGCTTTTAAAGACTTCATCGGTTTACTGTGAAAAACCCCCCATTTTGATTCCCTTTGTCTTAAAATATGGTTTGTAAGGTGACTTGGATGATGAGGTGAGGGATACAATACTGAGATCTTTGTAGACTTTGTTAACCATCTCTTCTTTCAGACCAAGTAGCCATATAAAAAACAAAAAAAACCTGAATTTACTCTTGAAATTGAGAAATATATTTTGGCATGTTTAGAAATTAAGCTGCAGCCAGAAGAAACCTTGTGCTAGAAACAGAGCTTCAGAGGTAGTACCCATCAGTGGTGTTTGCCTCAGCTGAGGCTATAAAGGCATGCTTGTCTATGTCACTTTTCTGTAGTTTTTCTCTCTGTTATTCTCCTGCACTGCAGATTCATTTGTTTTTTAAAGAAGTTGGGAAGAGCTACATAAAATCAAGGACAAATTGAGTACTGCATGATTCATCCCTATATACCATGTCTATGTGAAGAGGCAGCAGTAGTTGCTGATAAAAAGTAGAGGGTTTTGCCTAAAATGCCATTTGATGTGTGTGTCTACAGAATTTTATGGTATTTTATTACTGCTTTTTCCAACCAAGGTAAACATTCAACAATCTCCAATGGAACAGGATGGGACAGAGCCTTCCTGGAAGAAGGCAAGGGGTTACTTACCTGCACTCAGGTATTATTAAAACAATGTTGGTCATACAGACTTTTAATTTTGGTGTAGGGTGCCTCTACAATACAGGGGTGGATACTCTTCTAGGAAATAGTGTAGCCTTTCTTGCTCTCAGAGGTAGGTACATGGCAAGTAGGAATATGATGAAGTCAATATAAGAAATCTTCAGCTCCCTTTTTGCAGAGGGGCCTTCAATGGGAAGAAATCAAATAAAATCAAACCTTGAAAGGACGGTATCTCTCTAAAATTAGTTTTGCATGCTAATAAAGGTCAGCAAATGGCACTTATGGCTAAAGTGACAAAGTCTGTGTTTTAACAGTCCTTCACATGGCTTAACTGAAAATGGTGGCAGATATTCCCAAAATTCCAAAATGCATTTACAAAATTATTACTTGAATACAAAGTGGTAAGTCAAATATTTCAAACATGAAATCTGAAAATACAGCATAAAGATGGCATGGAAGTCTGTCAACAGTTCTCTGAAAGCTTTATGTCTGCAGATGTTGAAAATATTTTTGAATGTAGTGCTCCCAAACTTCAGGATTTGATGTCTCAAGATACCTGAGGAAAGATTTCATCCCATATAAAAGCCACAAGTATTGTACCTGAAATGAGAAGTTACAAAAAGGACCTTTATTTAAATGCATTTGAGGACACAGTACTGGTATGGAAAATAAACATTACATTCAAATATTTGAGTGTCTAACACTACAACAGGGACTGCATCAGTACTTTCTGCAAAGGAAGCTTCAATGGGCCATGTAAGTGTTTCCTGTGAGTTAATAACCTTGTTTTCCTTAGTATGGTTAATGCTTTGATCTGTGAAAGCCAAGCCAAAGGCAGAGAGTTTGGCTGGGTGAATCCAACATGGGCACCTTCCTATTCCTGATCAGGGCTCCTTTCTTTGTAGCTGAATGTATAAATGACTGAACCAGCAGCTTAACCTCCATCCCTCACCTGAGTTTGTTAGCTATGTCTGTTTTGATAACCACATGATTTTTAGGTGCTGCCAAGTGGGTATAGGATAATGAGCTGTTTTGAAGATCATTCTCATTTTGGGTTTATTCTGAAGTTGAAAAAATAGTAACATTTGATATAGTGTACAATTCTCATAAAGAAACTTCTCTCTCAAGTTGGAAGGGACCTATAAATCCAAAGAGCATCCAAATTTTACTATGACCTTTTCTTTACTGCAGGGTAAAAAAATCAGTTTATTTTTTCAGAGATGAAGAAGAACCTGCTTGATGGTGTTGCCCACACATAAGCTTGTATTTATGAAACTTCTTAGATCACCAAAAAAAGACTTATTGGAAGGGGTTCTGTTTAGTTCAGTCTGTCACTCAGTGCAGAATTTTGCCTATGGGTGGGTGGGTCAGTGAGGCTTTCCCTGGCTAAGTCCCAAAAACCTCCAAGCTGGAGACTGTAGCATTTCTCCAGGAAACTAATTTCAGTGTTGCTGCACACTTCCTCCTGAATGTTTTCCTGGAGTCTAAGCTGAACTTCCCATGCCCCAGTTCGTGGCCTTGCTGTTACTTGTTGCCAAAAAGAATGGTTAATCACTTGTAACTACTCTTGAAATAATGCTTGACTGTGCTTAAAACAGTCACTTTCATCTTACTTTTGCAGCCTGGTTCCCTCAGCCTTCCCTCTCAGATCAGGTACTCTAGGCCCTTTATCATCTTGGTGATCCTCCACTGCCTGGATCCTGTTTTTTGATATGTTCCTCTTGAACTGGGGGACTCCAAACCACCCATGTTCCAGATGTCACCTCACAAGCATTGAGTAGAAGGAGGCAATAATCAAAGAATCAATTCATTTGGAAAAACCCTGTGAGATCATGGAGTCCAACCTGTGACCAAACAACCATGTCAATAGACCATGGCCACTGAGTGCCACATCCAGTCTTTCCTTAACCAATTCTAGGAACAGTCACTCCACCACCTCCCTGGATAGATCTTTCCAATATCTAATCATGTTTTTGGTGACAAAATTCTTCCTAATGTCCAACCTAA